AGTTCATGTTGCGGAAGTACGAGAAATGGTACAATGAAACCCTGGAGCGCACCATGGAAGAAGACGCGGAAACTGACGGAGAAGAAGAGGACGCACGTGGATGTAAGAATGGCCCCGTCTATCCATGGATAAAAGATTTGATCGAGAGACAATTCAGTGCACAGGGCATTGTACTATGAAGTTCTAACTGGAGAAGAGAGAGAGAGAGAAAGAAAGAACATCTGTATCTAGTACTTTGTAATGTGAGTTGCAAATTTGTATCTACAAGGAAATTGTGTAATTGTTGTTTTTTTCTTGAAGTTGTCTGGTAATGTGGGGGAAAACTGGTTGGACAACCCAACCTGGCCCCTCTTCCTGTTTTTATGTACAAGTAGAAGTAATTATCAAATTAGTATAATTGGGAAGAATATAACAATGTAATTAATGGCCTTGTCTGGAGTATGTTGTTTTTCTTAAAAGAGAGTCATTGTAACAAGGAAGGCATGTCTGGGAAAGCCTAATCTTGCATGCAAACTTTGTGACGTAGAGCTGTCCTATTGGTTGTCATTGTGAGAGGACGATATAAATTGACAGTGCGCGCAGGTACCAGACACAGGTACTGCTTTGGACATAAGTCAAGTCGCCGGTTCGCATGTTTTAAAACAGTACATACTGTGTGTATAATAAGGAAACCTCGAAAACCGTATCTACCAAGTAAATCTACGCGCTTCTGTCAAGTACTGACACAACTCTACGCTGAGCGATGGTTCCTACAGATATCGACAATTTGCGGAATGAGGGGTCTTTGTACACGGACTCAGCTACACAGACACCACCCCTACGCAACGGACTACTGCCTGCACATCTATATGCGAATGAAGGTGGTGATGCGTTCTACACATCTTGGGATGATGACTTCCAGGAAGTTCGCTTCCATGTACATGATGCCGTCTTCCTAACTGCCGGGGTGTTTAACAACCAACTGTTGGTGTTTGTCCGTTCGATAGCGCAGGGTCCGAGGAGGCGAGGTTTGAGCCTGACACCCGAACAGTGGACTACGCTGAAGGACCTGGACATGAGGATACATGAGGCGATATTTGACATCAAATTTTCAGCTATACATGTTCCACCTACACCTCCTAGACAGCGCATGTTCCACCTGGGTGGCCTGTCTTACGTAGTAGTTGAAATGGTGAACGGAGAACCAACGGTAGGGTTGTGGCAGTACGAGCTCGGACCCACCGACGATAGGAACAGCGACTCCACCACCATCACCGAGATCAGTAACGAGAACAACCTATACCGTACAGAGGAAGGAATCAGCCTAACTATTCAGCAGTGGAAAGCAATGGAGGGCAAGAAACAGTCTGTAGATTGGGTTATGTTTCTTGTGGACCGCGGAAAATCCCCGTTGGACTGGCAGGCGATCTCGTGGATTCAATTATACATGTTCTAGTGGTAGATTTCTGTATGACAAGAGACGTCCTGTGATACTGACAATAAAGAAATGCATTGAGATTGAAAAATGTATGTGTCTGTTGTTCCGTAGAATGTGTATGTATGTATAAAGTAGGGTATCCCTAGAATCTGTAGACATTTGTTAAAACACAAGGAGCTGAGGTTAGACATGGATTATCTCATTTCGAAGAACAGAGTACAAAATGTAATACACTGTGCACAGTGTGCGTGTGTGTATGTTGTATTGAGGGTGTGTGTATGGTTAAGTGGGCTGAGATTGGTTCTACAACGATCAACAAGAAAGTAGGTGCATGTATTAGTATGTAACTCAGGATGGTATAAACCTCAACAGATAAGTCAGTGGGGTGTTGAACAATAACTGGAAAAGTAGTATTTGTATACCTATCACGTATTATGATTTGAAATAATAACGTCAGCACCGCTTCTTACGCTTAGCAGGTAGTATAGAAATAGTTCTGCGTCCTGTAAGTAACTAACCTTGGTCGCACCATATGTGTAATGAAGATGAGTTTGTGTACACACACATACAATAACAAAGGTAAAATGTTTTCACACCGACAATCCCCCTCCTGATTTATTATTTATACCGATAACTGATGAAGTATGTAATCATTTCCTTCACGAACAGCCACCATGTCGCACACGTGTGACACCTGTGGTAAAGAATTTACTCGCACGGACAATTTACGAAGACACCAACGGAAGCAGCACAATCATGAACTGGGACTTGAAAACCCCAGGATAGTCGACCGCGAAACTGGCAACACCAGGAATAGAGATTTTTGATGAAGATGAGAATATGTTGGTCGATCCAGAGCATGGAGCTACCAGGAATCCAGACATTTTTGATGATGATGATGACTCAGACATGTCGCTTGAGGCTAATGTTGACTCCTCATCAGGCGATGTAAATGATGATGTGTCGTCAGACGAACAACAGGAAAGTCAGAACAGGAAGAGTCTGTATGTTCTGAAGCTGAGGAGGAGGAAGAGGAACAGGAGGAGGAGTCTGTATCAAGTTCTGAAGCTGTGGAGGAGGAGGAGGAAGAGGAACAGGAGGAGTCTGCATCAAGTTCTGAATCTGAGGAAGAGGCAGGTGAAGAAGAGGAAGAAGATGTTGAAGGACAAGATGCAGATGATGAAGACGACGAGGAATGGACACTTTATCGAGACTGGACCATGCCTAGGCCACGATTTGAAAGTGAAGTCCCACAGAGAGTAATTCGGGAGACAAAACGTGGTTCTAAAATGTTTTATCTGGTCGAATTTGCAGGACTGCGTTATGGAAGTACGAAAATAGAATATAATAAAAAGTGGGTTTCTCAACACACCCTTTTGAAAGACCATGGATATATCGTACTGAAGTGATGTGTAAACATCTCTACTAACTAATGCGTAGAATGGTTTATTGAACATGAACACATTATCAACACTGACAATCCTCCAGGTTGCTGTGATGGTTGAAATGTAAGGTCTATTCTAACAAAACATTTAGCTTCATTACTCTTATCATTAGTAACAGGTACAGTTATTTTGAAAGTTGAATACGACTAGTAGTTTGAAATGGCATAAATAAAGAATTCTGCGATTGTGAATATGCTTTTTGTGTTTTTTCATATATGATAACAGATAAGGTTGGGTGGTGTGTTACTGAGGCAGGGAGTGAGAGAGGGAGTTAGTGAGTGATTGAGAGTGAGTGAGTGAGTGAGTGAGTGAGAGAGGGAGTTAGTGAGTGATTGAGAGTGAGTGAGAGTGAGAGAGGTAGTTAGTGAGTGAGTAAGAGTGAGTGAATGAGAGAGGAAGTTACTGTGATTGAGAGAGTGAGTAAGGGAGTGAGTTATGGAGTAAGTATGACAGTGATTAAGTGAGTGAGTAAAATTACTGAGGGAATAAAATGTTAATAATGCCTACCTCTTGCTATAAATAACTCAAGAAGTTGTGTGGACCGTTCATTTAGTGTTGTCATGGTGTTAGAGAAGGACAGTCCGAAATTACACAACTATACTGACGATTTCAACAGGGTACTTGATCACTTCACGTCACCTTTGTCAATTATTTCAGTATCGACTTTGTTTTATGAAAAAGATAAACCATGGAGCATGCAAAGAAGATGGTTTTAGTCCCACAACAAGTACTTTCCGACATAGAAGCAAAACAGAAAGAACAGATCGCGCCTTTGGTAAAGACGGCCATGACGATAGATGGACAAATGAAATCTATTTTGGACATGAATATACCCGACGACCAAAAGGCTATTTTGTATGGACAACAACTCCGACGTTATCTAGACTACCAGGACAAAAGGAGAGTAGAACCCGTAAGAGTACAGGTTGTAACACCATCATCATCATCAGGTACCACTAGTAACAGCGCTTACGTCACGTCGACTGCAGACAACACAACACTGACAACAAAAACAGAGACGGGATCGCAGGCTTCGTTACCCGAAGAGTCTATAGTGGAAACTTTCCCAAAAAGTTTAAAACCACGTGCTAGACAATTGGTTTACATAGTCAAGAATCATGGTGGAGATGTCCTGAAATGGAATGGCCAAGGAGAAATTGTTTATATGGGTCAACGTGTTCCTGCGTCCAATATATCAGACCTCCTGCGTGATTCTTTACAAAGGAGACGTGATTTCAACCCTGTTGGATGGAAATTTTTCTCGAGGGGTCTCGCAGAAATAAACGCGCCAGAAAATACTATACGACATCCAACAAGACTAAAAATGATACAGCGTCACAAGGAAATGTTATCGAAAGGACAGCCTTTGATGAGTGAAATGAAATGGATATACCTACACCTATCTCAGCCAGAGTTGCGTCTCTTCGGGGAGGAAAGAGGAAAGCTGGTGAAAGCCCTGTCAAAAACATAAAACTTAGAAATATATTTGTAGAAAGTTCGTGGACATGAACACAATAAAGACGCCTGTGTATTGTTAAAAGACTACTGTTATTGTTTTTCAAAATTTCTTGATTATTTACCCCCTCTGTTAGTACAGTAGTAAATGATTCACTGACCTGAATTTTTAGTAGGTTATCAGACCTCTGGTTTGACAGAAAGATTAACAGATTTTTCTGGTTCCTCGCAATTCACTACCCATACTCACTACACATACTCATATGTCATTCACTGACAGTTGTCTACACGTAAAATCTGACCTACAAGAAGATGTAAAACCGGTTTTTCATGTACACACAAAATCTCCTGCTTTTACACAAATACACACACACACACACAAAGAAAAATTCCTACTTTACACAAACACAAACGTACTTTTACACAAAACCCTTCTGCTTTTACACAAACATACTTTTACACAAACGTACTTTTACGAAAATGCCAAAAAGATTACCCTCCAAGAAAATGATTGTCTGACATCTCTAGGATAACTTGTCATGCCAAGTTACTAGATTCTCGGCAAGGCTGTCAGACCGGTTTCACACCCTATATGGTCATGTCGTCATGGGCACCCAGAATGCAGAGGGCTGATGGGCTACAGGCCAAAGACAAACCAACCCAACAACTTTCCGATTCCCCTTCAGTCATCAGACAACTACACATTTTGGTAGCAGTATCAGAACTAGCAACAAGAAAAGTGTGACGTAGGAAGACACTCAGCATGTTTTTGGAATACGTCAACCTTTACTGGAAATTAAACATTTCCAATACGGTATTGTACAGTTTCAACTTTTTTTACAAGATGTAAAACAATTTTTTCTTACACACCGTGATTGTTTTACCAATTTCACTCAATCTCTCAGACTGCTAAGGACAGCTAACCGAGATGACTTACTGTCCAAACCGACTGAGACCACTTTCGGCCAACTGAAAAGTAAGATTACTCTTTAATTCTTTAATGGATCTCGGTATACATTTAATACAAGTTGTATTCATTTAACTTAGAGCTATGCACATAATCGAATAAAACTATTACACTGTATCATTTTCGTACGCATCCGTCATAAAAATAAAATTTGTCTAGTAACCAATCCTGATGTGTTGTCCTGTTCCCCCCCCCCCACCCTCCAACCATTACGAGTAATCGTGATTAAAGTTGTCTGCTCAGCAATCCCACTATTACTTGTCTGACCTTCCAACCACATGACGTCAGGGGAGGGGCCTGTTGGGTTGCCAAACCGGTTTCTCCCCAAGGGCCAATGTTGTCATGGGGACATAATATTTTCCTGGCCGCTGATTGGCTGTGGACGGTAGTGTCTCCTGATGCTGCTGGCATAGCATTGAAAAGCCTAGATGCTAGCAAATTTTCGGTGATTTCGTTGTAGCCTACATTTTAAAAAGCTTGTTGCTTGTTTACGAATTCGATGGCCATGTGAGCGGCATAGCATTGCGGACTGTTTTGACCATGGCAGACGTGACTCGAACATACTAGTATTTTATAAGCTATTTGCCGATATACACGTGCAATTTGTCACTGAGGCACCGAATATGTATTTGTGCATTTTGCATAATTCACTAATTTCCGTCTTTCTTTTTTAAATTGGTTGTATTGATCACGACGCTCTTAATTGTAAACAGGCTACTGATGTCGTAGTCTTTATCAAGGAGTATTTCTGTCATCATTTGTAACGATGCTTACGTTGCTGCTGAAGTATTGATGGTCAAATTTATGCCTGTGAATTGAAAAAAAAGACTAAGGTTGGCAGAACGGACAGAACCAATGAACACTTACGGTCAACACTTTCACATAAGTGTTCAAAAAAATATAAAACTAGTTCTGTCAGTTTATTTTAGTGACGCTGAAGAAGAGTAATGGCTGTCACGCAAAATGTTCGCCTTATCTCCGTATTTGATCCAGCAGTAAAGTTTGAATTTTCTTTGAGTAAGTTAGGACGTTACTCTTGTTCGCTCTACGTATTCATTTCTTTGTGTGAGTTTGAGAATGTCTTTTGTTGTTCCACAATGATTTCCTGTTAAATCTTATCAATACATCAACAGTTTAGTAGCCTGTGTTATTCCTATTTTTGTTAGAATCTGAGTCCGTTGCTAGCGCTGATTAGCGAAGTTGTCAGTTTTTTAAGTTACCAAACGTGTTTTTGTACTCGTCTATGATAAAGTATGTATGAATTATGTGTTTCATATATTTGGTTGTAAGCCCGCTGTTTTACTGTACTGTACTGCGTACTGTCGTAGTAGGATATTGTCTACTACACTTTCCCTCTCAAAACGGTGCCCAAGTAGCAGTTGTTCTCTATCTTAGCTGTGTTAATTAGTTTGATCAGTAAGATTTTTGTCCACCGTGGCTCATTTGTCCCCGAGTGAGTGGCCCTGTTTTAATTCTATAACTGGTCTTTATGACATATTGACGACAACTTAATAATGATGAAACTTTAAGTTACTCATGGTCCTGTTATTTTCCGTCAGGTAAGAGGACGTCGAGATTTAGTTCACGTTAAGTTTCACTTGACGTGTTCCACCGGTCTTACCAAGAATATCATCTCCCCTCTGATGAGACTCACCTGTCCAGATTGAAAATTCCAGTCCAGATTGAATACTGCAGGAACAACCTGCCAGTATTTTTCCCATCTAGGTCAGGCCTTGAGAACCTGCCTGCTCGCAGTCAAATTCTTTACAACAGACTCCGATCTGGTAGAAGTCTATTGCTATAACCTTAACAACCTATTCTAAAACTCAAACTGTTCATCATCTTACTCAGTAGCTATTGATATCTTTAAGCAGTCCGTGGTTCCTTGGTTCCTTTAAACCTAAATATATGCATGTAATTCTGTACGCTGATACTGAATATGAAAGTAATGATTGTACCAGCAGACACTCCGATCAGGATCTGTACCGGCAGAGACTCAGTCAATCGGAGTTACTTTTGAGTCTCTTGAACATTAATGCAGGAAACTGCTTCAATTTATTCATGTTCTTTTCTCTATCTGTTCCCGCAGGTGAGCTAAGCCATGGTCACATTCAGCCTACAGAAGAAATTATATGGTGAGATGGATAAGCAGACGGTCAAAACAGCAGTAAGTACACACAGTGACTGTGTACAATGTTTTTGTCGTTTCATGTGCCATTATCATTGTAACATCTTTCATGATGAATGAACAAACACATGACTTTCAACCTTTGTTTACTTAAATGTGTGCTTCATTGCATTCTGTGAAATGTATCGGCTATGTATATGAATATATATATGTGTGTGTTTGTGCGTGTGTGTGTGTGTGCGTGTTTGTGTGCATCTGTGTGTGTGTGTGTTTCAAACATATGACTTACAACCTTTGCTTACTTTGATGTGCGCTTCATTGCATTCTGTAAAATACATACACATATTATGTGTGTGTGTGTGTGTGTGTGTGTGTGTGTGTGTGTGTGTGTGTGTGTGCGTGTGTGTGTGCGTGTGTGTTTCTGTGTTTATGTATGTATGTGTGTGCGTGTGTGCGTGATTATGTATGTATGTACATGTATGTGTTTGAGTGTGTGTGTGTGTGTGTGCGTGATTGTGTGTCTGTGTGTAAGAATCTTGTTAATATAGGAGAAGAGCGTGAATTTAAAAAAAAATGGCATTGATTTATTTATGCCTTTTTTCTCTCTTGGTGCCACAGGTGAACCTCACCATGTCCACCCTCAGACTACAGAAGGAATCCCCTGGCTCGCACGAACCCTTGTCGTGGAGGAATTCGGGTGTACATGTGAATGCACCAAAAATACTCACGCAAGAAAAAACAGCGAAAAGCAGAGAGAAAACAAAAACAAAAAAGAAAGTGACACAAAAACTCATGATAGATAACACACAAATGAATAAAATCTTTCACACAAAACATCACCGTCATCACACATTAAGACTATACAAAAACTCAAAGAAGGACCGGCAACATGACGTTAGAATCAATCTAACTAATAGGTTTGCCGTGCCCAATGTAAGGGAAACCTTAGCGATCTGAAGGAGCCTGTATCAGCTATATTTCAGTTCAAGTCAGATAATTCTTTATTGAATGACGTTATGAATTGTCAAAATAATTTTGGAACGGTCCCTTAAGGCTAGATTCTCGGAGCACAGGCGCCCCAGTTCCAGCACGTCGGAAGAATCGCAACACATCCATATCGAGTCACCGGGACACACAGTTACTCTTGACAAGGTACGCATTTTAGATACGGAGCAGGATTACTTTGTGAGGGGTGTGAAGGAGGCAGTTTACATCAGGGCCCATCAACCCTCTCTGAACCGCGACGTTAGGAGATTCCGTCTTCCCGCCACTTTTGATGCACTCCTGACGTAATCACGCTTCCGACTTCCGGAAAGACAACGAGTGCATCATTCATCTGACGAAGGTTGACGAGATCGACCGAAAATTTATGGTGAGTTTCTTCCCTTGTGTTGGAACAAAGTTTGAACTTTAACTATGGATTCTATCAACACAGATGAGCTTTCATTCGAAGATGAGCTTTTATTCAATTTTGGTCGTCATTAACATCGATCTAGAGAACTAATTTGAGATACATGTATCGGAAAAAAACTGTACAGACTACCGCATGTCTAATGCTCTAAGCCAACTATTAGATAAGAATTCTTACTTATGTGCAAAGGATGTTCCTACAAGGTGTCGCCAAAAAGCAATTCCCTCGGGAATGCATTGGTGTAATTTTTAGAATATTTTCAACTCAATCGCAGTACTATACCAACGGCTCCGCCCCTGAGGCGTCGCCAAAAAAATAATCAGAGAATAAGTCTTAGCAATCAAAATTAAATATAAATACAGACCGGGATTCGAACCCGCAACCCCTGGTTCCACTCACCCTACAGGCAGACCTGGGAATCAAACCCATGACCAGCACCACCCATCCCTTCAGATGAGATCTAACTCTTGCTTAAACAAAGAAACTTTCCAAGCAAAAAAAAAACGTAACTAATCACAGAACAAGTCTTAGCAATCAAAGTAAAACCTAAGTACAGACCGGGATTCGAACCCGTGACTCCTGGTTCCACTCACCCTGCAGGCAGACCTTGAGCCAGTCGATAAGCTCCCATTCCTTCAAAAGAGAGCTAACTATCTAGGAATCCAACCCATGACCATCACACCCATCCCTACAGATGATGGCAAGTAAAACCTAAGTACAGACCGGGATTCGAACCCGTGACTCCTGGTTCCACTCACCCTGCAGGCAGACCTTGAGCCCGTCGATGAGCTCCTGTCCCGAGTGATGGAAGGTGCAGCGGGAGTACCAGCGGGTCAGCGAGTTGTTCATAGACGCGATCACCCCGCCGATGGACTGGCCCTTCGTGGCCGAGTCGTGGTAACAGTCGATGCCAACGACCATCATGCTCTTCAGCTGTGAAGAAAAAAATTGGAGAAAATACAGTCCATCCCTCTCCTTATATTACACTGTCTTTTACCTCTCCAACCAAAGTCAGGTACCCATTTTCACACCTGAGTGGAGTGAGGAAAGTCATGTTATGGGCCAGAAGTCTGGCCAGAAAAGCCAGGGATGAAACCCACAACTCTCAATCTGGTGTTAGTTACCTAGCCACTTAGACATTTGATATCACTCGTGACCTAGTGCCCTACTACATGAATACCCTAACCCTACCGGGATCTCCACGGCCCACAGCTCCCCTCCCAGTTTGCAGTTGAGCTGCAGGGCGATCTTGGTGGCCACAGACATCAGCATCTGTTTCTTGTTGAGCGTGCGACTCACGATGACCTGGCTGGGCACGGGGTGGTCCACACAGCAGAACTTCTTGATCGCGTCGTACCTGTCCTTACGCTGGGACGACAGCAGGCACACCACCTAGAAGAAAACACACAACATGTTCAGATTTTGATAGCCGGCACGCCACTGGCAAAAAAAGGAACAGGAGTTCGAAAATCACAAGCCTGTGTTACACAACCCCTCACTGTTGGGGTCTGATTTAGATAGCAGGCACAACCCCTACAAAAAAAAAAGATTTTGTAGATCTTTAGCATTTATTACACATCCTACGTGAGACCTTGTGGCTATACAGTCACAAGAACCATTCCCAGACAGTTCTCAGTCTGACAATAATTGTTCCATGTTATATTTCATATTATCACACATGCATAAGTCAACAAGATTAAGATGTTCTCAATTCTCTTGACTTACGGCCATCAAGCTTCTTGGGGTCTAACCAGTGGAAGGGCTGCTAGAAGCATGATGTAGTAAGGTTAGAAGGGATACCTGATGCGTCTGTGACATATTTTTATTGCATGTTATTAGCAGAGAATGCAAATAAACAAATAGACTCACCATCTGTGTTTTGTCGTTCATCTGCTCCCTCATGGTGCGGAGGTAGTTGTCTGTGCGATCATCCCGGATCTCACACCTTCAGAGGGACAACAAATTTGGCACAAATAAAGACATGTAAGGCGTAAATATATGTCAGGCATCTTTTGATCAGAAATCTCTGCAATTGTTCCCTTTGTTCTTGTTTTTATCTTGTGCAAATACAATAATAGCTACATACAAATGGCAGATGCTAGGTGGCCCAAACACACACACACACACACACACACACACACACACATACATACATACATGCATGCACACACACAGACACACATTCACACACACTAACACTAATACACACACATACTCACCAATATAAGCTCCCGACCATATGTCGGCCTTGCTAGTTTCTTATTATTTCTCATGTACACTTGCAGTTAGCCTTAAGGCATGGATAAAAGTAAAGTAGGAGGTTTTTACATGATGGGTTTGTTGATGTTCATGCCCATGGGCGGCCCCACCCTGACCAGAGCCTGCAGGAAGTCCTGGGCCTGCGAAGAGTTCCTCTGGGGGAAGATGAAGAGCCAGTTCTGCATGGGAACGTACGAGATCAGCTGCTGCCCGCGCATCTCCTTCCCCCAGTCTGCATCCTGCGGCTTGTAGTTGCACTGAAAATGACACAAAAATATTGTCAAGTTTTGTCTCGTTTTCAACATTTTCCTAGAAGTGTATGTGCTGTGGCTTGTAGTTGTACTGAATACAATGCAAAAATAAGGATTTTTGCAAATTTTTTATCTAATTTTTATGTTTCCCTGGCAGTCTACATTCTGTGGCTTGCAGTAGTTGTACTGAAATCAATGCAGAAATAAGCATTTTTGCTTAGTTTTCATGTTTCCCTGGCCGTCCGTATCCTGTAGTTTTACTGAAAATGACAGAAAAAAAGTCTGCATAAAGTTTTGTCTTGTTTTCAGTATTTTGGCAGTTGTTAATATGAATGAAAGTATGATTATGCTCTCACAAACTAAGTACAGGTCATGGTGCCTTGTAGTTTTACTGGAAAACAACACGCAAAAATAAAAATCAGGCCAAGTTTTGTCTAGTTATCACCATTTTCCTGGCTGTTTGTTGTGTCTTCTGGCTTGTAGTTGTAGCATCTTACTGGGGGCTTTATCTAGTATTATATAGACGTAGAAGTAAAGGAGTACTCACAGATCCACTGCGCTGCCAGATCTTCTCCGGCGGCATGACACGTCCCTCCAGCTTCAGCAGAGTCTTGTCGTACGACAGACCCCAGCCCTTCATGTCCTTCTGGACCTTCTCGTTCCTGATGAAAGAAAAATTTTGTGTTATTTTTTGTGAATCATTCCATTAAGTTGGCGATAGATTTTACAAGAAGGTTCTTTATTCAATAACCAGTGGGTTTGTATATCCAACGTTTTTGTGGCGTCATGATTCTGCAGCAGTGAGACCTAGTGCAGTGCAAATATCATCACACAATATACACACAGTTCATATCATCACAATATACATACAGTTATAATTATCATTACCTTATCATCATAATATACTCACAGTTATCATATTATCACAATACATGCACAATTATTCAAATTACAGGTATGGGAATTCCCAGGTATTTACAATACTCTTTTTAAGGGAAAATACATATTAACCAGAATTTCTCTGTTATACTGGAATTCCTGTGTTTTGTGAACTGAGACTGTACCCACTTGTTGAGGGTGTTGATAAAGGTCTGCAGAGTGTCGTTCCTCTTGTCTGGCGTGAGGCGGGTGTGGATGGCGATGTCCTTCATCACATGGTAGTCCGCACGACCCTCATCCGTCAGGCCTGAACACAAACACAACACCAACATCAGCATCCACAAGTTCCTGGGTTCGAATACCAGGCCTTCACACTAACGGTCAGGGGTTCAAATCTAAACCTACAAGCTTGGCTTACACACACATGCTACTTCATAGTTAGCATCCAAACAAAAACACAACATGAATGTCAGCATCCACGAGGTACTGGGTTCGAACCTCGGGCCTTCACACTAACAGTCAAGCGTTCGAAGCTCAGCCTACAAGCTAAGCCTCCACGGACATGCTACATAGCCGGTGGATATCGGACTTCCTGACTAATAGAACACAAGTCGTGCGATATCACGGGGTGCTTTCGGACAATGCTACGGTAACCTGTGGTCTTCCACAGGGAACCATTCTCGGGCCCTTGATCTTTATTGCGTACATTAATAGCGCATCCCGGCAAGCATCATCTAAGAGATGGAAATTTGTAGATGACTTGAACTTGCTTGACATACGTAATCCCTCCATCCCAACTTCAACCTTACAGCAAGACTTGACAGATCTCGACAAATGGTCCCACGAACAATGTATGGTCTTACATCCCGGGAAATGTAAGGTTTTGCACATACAGTTTAGCAAAGCTGCCCGTCTTCTCCCTTCTCTCCAACTCAACAACATCGAACTGAAACAAGTAGAAGTAATGAGGATTCTCGGGGTTTTCCTCCAGGCAAACCTTAAATGGGACGCCCACGTCGAGCACATATGCAACAGGGCTAGTCAACGGATGTACTTGCTCAGACGACTGAAACACTTCCATGTTTCAAAGGAGGATCTTGTAACAGTCTACACATGCTATGTTCGTCCGATCACCGAGTACGCGGCTCCAGTCTGGTACCCTGGCTTGACAAGTGCTCTGAGTCGGAGAATTGAGAAAATCCAGCGAAGGGCTGTCCGAATCATATTGGGAACTGAATACACTGGTTATACTGAAGCGTGCACCCTCCTCGGCCTGCCTTCTCTTCACACGCGTCGATCTGACCTTACACTGCAGTTTGCCAAGTCCTTACTGACCTCCAAACTGTACCGACACTTCCTCCCACCCATTAGAGAGAACATCAGCAGTCGCCAGACCCGTTCTTCGAACAAGCTGAACTTACAACTCTGTAGAACTGACCGCTTTAGAAATAGCGCCATTCCTTATATGACAAGGATGATGAACGATTTATTGTCGTAATGACCCTAATAAGAGCCCCGTCTATTTGACTTTGCTGAATTAATTAGGTCGTATTTGTAATTTGTAAGATCTTTCCTGTTGTAAAGCCCTTGTATTTTCTAATAGATAAGACTATGTGTATTTTAATATATATATTTACGACTAACTCAGAGTTTACGATATAGTTGTTGATGACTTTTCGATATATGGTGCTTGTGGGAAGACTCCCAGTGATCTCCGTCGACTTATTTTTTATCGTAATATGACTCTTGATCTTAATGATTTTAATGATTTTAGATATCTTAAAGTGAATCAATGTGACATAGTCTGTCTTTTTGTAAACGAGTCTGTCAATTCAGCCCAAGGGCTGCCATTGGACCTGTTGTTGTTTATGAAATGCACAATAAAACCAGTCTACTACAGTTAAGGTCAAAGAAAACACGGTCCTGGGTTCGAACACGCAAACACAGATACAACATTATGGTCAGCATTCAAACTTCTGGAACTTATGGTCAAGGGTTCAAATCCAAACACACACAGTCCACACATTACAATCAGACTAGAGTTAAGTACAGGAAAACATTTACACCAGACCTGTGAGGGTGCAGAGTTCCGGCAGGAGGTACAGCGGACCCTCCATAGGCTTGCCTCCCTTCTGCACCTGGAAACACAACAAACAACAAATAATTCATTAACTTAATTAAGGCAAACCGACATGCAAAACTATTTTTCTGTTGCCGACTACACTGCCATTTGCTGTTTCTTGTTGAGGTTGGCTGTAGATTTCCGGTTCATCACAGTTTCTTTTTAAATCATGAAGACCCCCGAAGCATACACAAAACATGTCTGATCAGAACATCTTGCACAAACAGGGAACGTTATCATCGTAATTGTGAACCTCCTCCTCCCCAAAAATGTGTTTTGGGCCCTGATGATGGTGTCTGTGATGTGTAGTGGTAGAACATCCGACTGTCAAGCAAGGGGAGCCAGGTTCAATCCCCAGGGCTGTACCCAGACATGTCCAGACATGCACCCAGACGTTGTGCCCTAGGGAAAAGCACTTTACACACATTTTCCCCCTCAGTTAGAGGGATCCTGCTAGGTTTTGGGTTGGCGTTAGGAAGGGCATCCAGCCGTAAAAGAATCTTGGTCAAAAAAAAAGACTTGCACTTTGGTGCAAGCACGACTAACCACCGTTTCGCGGAAAAAGGACGTTAAACCTGGATAAGAAGAAGAAGAAGATGCTTTAATACCTTCTTCTTGGGACGGCTGACAAGCAGAGGCTGGTCCATGTCTCTGACCGTCTTGTTGTACTGCTTGGCGTAGTACTCCACGTAAGACATCTCGGTACCGTCAAACATCTTAAACTTGTTCTGAGGGTTCTGTTCCCAGTCAATGTCGTCAATACGGTACGTCTTGTTGTTGTACCTGGTAGAAAAAAAACGTTCAAGCCTTTATTTATCTACTACTTCTTTATTCAGTGACTCTGTACGAAACAAAAGCATTTATCTATTTTCCTATGTAGTCGCGTCGACCTTGTGCCGACGCTCTGCCAAGGGCTAGGAAAGAAGCTTTACCGAACTCACCTCGGATTCTCCACACTGATCGAGACACAGCCACTTACTTGCACGTATAGAAGATTCAAACTGATCTGCTTTGGAACAGTCACATTGTGAAAACAGTTGCTAGAGCCAATTCAATGGTTGGATTCATCAGACGCACTGTTGGTTATGAGTCCAGCCTTGTGGTACGCAAATCCTTGTATGTATCATTGGCTAGATCTTTACTTGAATATTGTTGCCAAATATGGTCACCTCTGTCTCGCAATCTGATGTCCTTGTTGGAGGGCGTGCAGAGGCGGGCAACCAAGTTCATTATAGGTGCAAATGCCGACGCTTGTGAACTTGACTACAAGGCTAGACTAGCTCACCTCAACCTGTTACCTCTTTCATATAGGAGAGAGATCGCTGACATCATGTTGTATGTTAAGTCCACGGCTAATGTGTACGATTTAGACATGCACAATTATGTTTCATTTTCATCACGGCCAACAAGAGGTAGTAGGTCACATATGCTAATGCCAGTTCGCTGCAAAACATCAACATTTGCTACTTCCTACATCCCTCGCTTGGTGGCTGAGTGGAACAGACTGGAAGTCAGAGTCCGGGACATGGGGGCTGTCGCTTCGGGGCAGTCCGAGCTTTTAACATTCAAACGGGGTCTTGTCAAATCGCTGACCAAGAGATTTAATGATCATTTTGTTACTGACAATCTCTGCACGTGGACGTCTGCTTGTCGGTGTGCCACATGTCTGGCAATAAGGCCACGGTAGACATGGGGCACCTCCACGGCCGGATGTACATGTGCAGAGATCTAGCTATTATGAAATTGTGCAATTATATATATTGTTATTATTGTCTACTTACGATGTTGTGCAATATGTTTAATTAGTTTTAACTAAGATTGATTGCAATGTCATTATGTCTTTGGGGAGGGAGCCTGTAAAGGTGGTCTCCACCTGTTTCTCCCTTCCCTTCCACTTGTGGCAAAGCTTGAATAAATAAATAAATAAATCTACGTTGTGTTGTTAGTAGTACAAGAGCCGCCGTACTAATGTCTGACGTAAAGTTCTGGTTCTATCCTTTCATCTCTGAACGGAGTTCAATAGTATCAGTCCTTGTTGGTAATCCTTGTTCTTGAATGGATCCTCACGAGTTTGATTCTTCCTTATGTCCTCCAAGGTGAGCTCTTGGCGTAAAAGACTAATTTGGTCTCCTAGTCTTGGCAGTCCTCAGATGTCTTGAAGTCTATCTTCAAGCCCAATTTCCTGAAGCCGAACAGGCTCAGGCCTCTTGATTCTTGGATTCCTCCAAGCCTAAATTTCCTGGAAACCACTTTCCAGGCCTAAAGTTCTCCTCATAAATCCTAGCAGTCCAGGCTGTCTGTTTGTGCCTTATGCACCGTCCTTTCTGTGCCTTTTGCACTGTCCTTTCTTTCAGACTGCTCCCCCAGCCCAGATGGGGTTCTCTTTTTTAGTGTTAGGGGGGTAGGGAATTGGCGGGAAACTAGCTCCTATTCATTATAATGAATTAACTAAAGGCGGCAAATACGAATTGGCAAGTTGGCGCTTACATCCTATCTATTGTGATGAAGTCACTTATGCAAACTTGTGATGGCCCATAGAGTTTTCAGAAATAGCAAGGTAGATCAATTGTAGGCACCAGCAGAGAGAACCTTTGAGTTCAGTGGTACATACTTTCAGGTTGCGCTGTGCACTACCTGAGTCAAGGAGCAACTAGCGCACAAGAAAATCATGATGCAACTAGAAAGGCAGACATTTGCTCGGGAGCAAGTATAGTATTTCTGTCCAGCTCCTTCCTCGTTCCAAAATGGACTGATATATATCAACATTTTCCTTGTTATAGCAATATGAATCGTTTCAATACCCCCATGTAGTCCCCAATAACTTTACAGTACTTTTTAGTCAAGTATTCTCGAAACCCCCATACAGTGCTTTTCAGTAATACTAGTATGTTCTCGACCCCCCCCCCCCCACCATACAGTGCTATTCAGTAACAAGTATTCAAAAAGCCCCAACGCTGTATTTTTCTGTATTAGGTGTTTTCAAAACCTCCATGTAGTGCTCAAAATCCCATACAGTGCTTTTCGGTAAAATGTTCTTGAACCCCCCATACAATGTTATTCAGTAAGTGTATTCACAAAGCCCTCATGTTGTGTTTTTCAGTATTATGAATATGAGTTTTCAAAACCCCCATGTGGTGCTCAAAACCCCCATACGGTGCTTTTCAGTAAAAGTGTTCTCAAAACTCCCATACAGTGCTATCAAGGATCACCCCGTCATCGGTACAAATTTTCGCACATTTGACAGGATCCATGACAAACTGTATCTGCTTAAAGATTACATACCCATGCCACCCTGCATCTGCTTGGAGATTGTACCATAACATATAATAACATACAATTGCACACAAAATTCTCACCCATGTTCAAAATTGTATTCCAAACTACTTGGAAGAATTATACACGGATATGTTAAGTTAAACATATAGTGCCCATGTACATGTATGATTGCAGCTATGTAAAAACTGTGTCAGATATTATGCGAAACGTTTACGGAGGACCCCCATAATAATAATCTCTGCCTGACAAAAACACTATCTGCAGCTAATCTGGTTAAAATACTAAGTTTCAATCCCCCACCTAAAAAAATAGCAAGGTATGTAAAACTGAAGGTTATGTGACATGTTTCCACCGATTTACAACTCAAGGCACTTCTTTTTCCTGGCCAATACTTGTAAAAGCAAACTGTTTCTATTATTAGTATGTGACACCAGGTGCAGATAATTCAATTAACTCCCAACCAATCAGCAACCACAACTGCAATCACTGGGCACACCTGCATACCAGATGGCTGCCCAAATATGGTAACACCAAATATGGCAACACCAGGTGGATGCCAAATATGGTAACCCACACCAAATATGGCAACACATGCCCTGCTACTTCTTCCTATGTAAATAGCCAAAAATCCGAAATAAAACAACTTTAAAAGCATGTATCAAAAATATGAAAAAAAAGCATTTGGGTATTTGCCCACTCTTTTCTCATACCAAGTTTAAGATCATTTGGCCCAAAAATGAAGGAATTGAATCCATTTAAAGATATGGCAGGAGGAGGAGAAACATGAGTAACTAGAAAGGCAGACATTTGCTCGGGAGCAAATATAGTAAATGGCTTTACCACATTAGGTAGGCATTTGGTTGGCAGCCAAATACATTTTTTCTCTCCATCTTCTTCCCCGTTCCAAAATGGACTGTTCCATAAACAACCCTTTCCATTAAGTGTTTCAATACCCCCATGTAGTCCCCAATACCCGTACAGTAGAGTACGGTAAAATATTCTGGACCCCCCCATACAGTGCACATGCTTTTCGATAAAATGTTTTCAAAACCCCCATACAATGCTATTCAGTAGCAAGTATTCACAAAGCCCCCATGTTGTGTTTTTCAGTATTAGGTATTTTCAAAACGCCCATGTAGTGCTCAAAACTCCCAAACAATGCTTTTCAGTAAAAGTGTTCTCGAAACCCCCATACAGTGCTATCAAGGATCATCCCGTCATTAGTTCAAATTTTCGCACTTTTGACAGGATCCATGACAAACTGTATCTAGTAAAGATTACATACCCACCCCACCCTGTATCTGCTTGGAAATTGAAAATTGGGTCATTTGGCCGTAGAAGTTGAATGCATTTAATGAAATGATAGGGTAATAAGGAAAACATTGAGGAGAACCAATACAGTGGTTGGACAGCTCTAACATCCCTTACATTATTGGTAAAGATTCGCAAACGTTTGATTTTCAACATTTACAAAAACATTTAATGTCTCACACCCCCCATATTCCAATGCTGGAGCAGGAAATTTCGATGTGCCTGCTAAAAAGACTTGATGGCATGTCTTATTATCAACATGTGCCAGGTGTTCAGCTTAGCAATGATCTAATCATCAATCAGCCAATCAGCAATGAGAACACAACCTTCTGATAAAAGCTGCATGCCTATTGGCTGTTGCTCTGCATACCTGGCATACCACACTGATGACATTATGCCCTACTGAAGCCTATTCTTTAACAATAGCAATGGAAAAAAAAAACTCAGTAAAACCTTTCAAAGCATGTATCAAAAAAAAGAGAAACAACACTATCCCGTATCTGCTTGGAGATCGTTAACTTCAGGTCATTCCAACCCCAAAAGTTGAATCCATTTAACGAAATGGCAGGTTAAGAAGTACAAACATGAGGAAAAAAAATGTCTTTCATCCATATACCTATTATGTCAATGCTATGAACCAATTAGGGCAATCAGCCAATCACAGCCTTGCATAGAGAAATACTTCATGCCTTTTGGCTAATCAATAAAAACCTCAATAAAACCATTTTAAAAGCACGTATAAAAAAAATGAAAAAAAAAGCACTTTGGAATTTGCCCACTTAACTTTCATACCAAGTTTCAGATCATTTGGTCCATAAATGAAGGAATTGAATTCATTTTTTTAAAAAATGGCTGGAGGAGGAGAAACATGAGTAAATACAATAATGGCTTTACCAGTGGTAAAGCCATTAAATACAATGTAGCTTCTACATATCACTACGTGGTATGGCGAAGCTACAAAAATCCTGGGGAAGAGACTTCAAATGTATCTTAAGGCCACACCAATTTAATTTGTTGGTTCTCGGATTTTTTCAGAAAAAATATGAAGCGACAGGGCGAAAAAAATAAAATAAAAACAGGTCTAGGCATCCCATTATAGGCTTAAATGCTACGGAATGAGCCATGAAGTCAACACAAAAGGCTGGGTTAAAATTTAAACATTGAATTTTGAACTTTTAATCAAACCACTGCAATGATAGATGGGAAAACTGTAACAACTAGGAAGAAAAGGACTTTCCTCAACTGTTGGAGGCAAAATATGAGCAGTTTTCAGTTGATTCAGGACCAGAATCAATTTTTTTTTTTGCAAATCAGAAAAAAACGAAGAGGCAAATCCGAGAACCAACAAATTAAATTGGTGTGGCCTAAGATAAGATTAAGATAATGATAAGAAACGGAACAATAAAGGAGATTCTACATGAAGAAAGAAACCGACCTTGTGAGCACGATCTCTCCCACGAGCTTCTTGGTTGCGTTCTCGTGGAAGCTGTGCTGCGTCTTGTTGTACAGGTCGTACAGGAAGTCCAGCACGGTGTCGGTGCGCAGGATCTTGTGGGAGACGTCCGCCATCAACATCACGTTGGCCTCGTACTGCAGGATGGAGGTCACGAACCCCGGCCACACCTCCAGTCTGAACAATCAATCAATCAATCAATCAATCAATCAACTGACCGATCAATAATTCAATCAATCAATCAAGTGAATTTCCTTTTTGAGAATAGGTGCCCTGGCAATGGAAAAGATGGCTGATGATATCAGAGAATGGCCAGGCTGAAGATGAACATAAAATCTTCGAAAATTGTTTGTGAGAACATTTTCGTTTTGGAACAAAATTTTTAACTTTAGACAATATACATATTGTTCTCTCCCTTGGGGTGGTCTAACAACAGCTTGTGAAGCTGCAGCACGTATGTGGCCATGTCAGGGTTGGAAAAAAATACTTCCACACCTCCAAATCTACCTGCACTAACCTACGTATGCAGGAGGTATCTGAACAACAATAGATATGTTGTGAAGCCTTACTTGTGCTGCGGCACGTATGCGGCCATGTCGGGGTTGTAGTTGTTGCGCCCGATCTGCTGCATGCCGATCTCGTGCAGAGCCTTGCGGAACAGGATGTTGTACAGCTGGATGCACGTCGGCGAGGTCGGCGGAAGCTCGTTGGTCAGCGTGATCGTGATCTTGATGTTGGCGCCGTCGTTGCGTCGCTCGGAAAACAGCACCGTCTCCTGTGTATACAAATGTCAATCAATCCATCCATCAATCAATCAATCAATCAATCAACCAGATTTACTCAAACTGTGTAACAAGACTGGTAAAATAGAAGCTCTTGCTACAGCTTCAAATAGAGGTTGAAAACACTGTCATTGTGTTGCTTGGAAAAAAATAGTCCCCTGTGGAAGGATTCAAATGTCATTCCACCAATTTTATCAAAACTGCTAGTTACAAAATTGGCAATAGAAATTTCTTCCAACCGATTCTATAAAAGGTTAGAAATCAACAAATTGAAACGGCTTTTACATTAGGTTACGCCTCTTAAAGAGGCACAGGCTTCTATGGAAGGATACAAGTATCAATTAAAGAATTATTAATTGGTGTGGTTCAGTAAGACCAATATAATAGAACAGAACATGTCAGATGGTTTATGCATTTCGTTACCTCATACTGAATATACAAGACTGGATATGCTACCAACATATGTATGTAAGTGCAGGTAGAATTGTATTTCTGGTGTCTACCTGTACCTTAGCCTGACTTAACCGCGCTCCTGGAGACCGTCCGCCCGAAGGTTGCAGCCCCCCTTGGGGTGGGGGTCATTAAGTCCCGGCCCAGAGATTGTGTCAACACAGGCTACCTGTACCTAACCTGCACTTGTAATGTACTGGGTTTAAAGTGTATGTGTTGCTTCTGTCTATATTGTATGAAAGCTGAGATAAAGGAAACGGACCCTCTGCTCCAAATTGTGCAGGTAGAATTGTATTTCTGATGTCTATCTTTACCTAACCTGCACTGGTCCGTGTACTAGAAGTGCATTGTCCTCTTTACTGTCACAAAGCTGAGATAAAGGAAACCGACCCTCTGCTCCAGGCGTTTGGGCAGGAAGAGGATCATCCCGTCGAAGGCGTACGTCTCCCCGATCAGCTCGATGTGTTCCTTCACCATGGAGATCCGCACGCCTCGGTAGTCAATCTCCGGCGCAAAGCTCACGTTGTACTGGTAAAGCGCCCAGGAGGGGGTCGAACTCACACGGAAGAAGTTGGTCACCAAGGGGACGGGGTGGCCCGTGGAGCCTGTGGGGAGGGTGAGAAGGGTTGTTCGGGGTTGGACAAGTTTTCAAAAATCCACCTGCCCTATCCAGCAAGTACATGGCCATTTCCACTTGCCCAAACCAACTTTCCACTTGCCCAAAATGAAGAAATAAATCACATTTTTACTTGCAGTAAGGGAATTGTTTTACTTCTCAGTAAGAAAGGTTTATGATGTTGTATGCTTTATCTATATCACGCGGAAGAAGTTAGTCACCAAGGGGACAGGGTGGCCTGTGGAGCCTGTGGGGAGGGGAGAAAGGTTGTTGACACAGAATTTGAGGGTTCTGGGTTCGAATCCGTGGCTGGCTCCAGTTCTGTGCACTTGGCAAAAACACTGAACACCAATTTTTATGCTATTTACGACAAACCTTGGGAATATTAGTTACTATTAGTTCGGGTGCATGTAACCTAACAGTTTAGTCATTTTGTAAGAAGGGGAGGGCCATTTGTCAGAAGGATATTTTGATAGCCAGATGACATCAACACAAACCATACCTACACACCAGAAGTTTCAAATCTATGATTTCCTGTTCATATCTATTCTACATGTTGTTGAAGAAATCAGACGAAATAGAACAACTTACATAGACATAAACAAAATGACAAAGAACGTATAGCCTAGAAAACTGACATGAAAAACCAGCTACACACCTTTTTTGTCCTGGACGTGGGCAGGGCGAGTGTGGGGTTCCTCGATGACTACGTCACCCCTCCTGCGCCGTCCGAACGGCTGGGCGGCGGGTGCTGCGCCCGCTCCCTTCTCTCCGAGAGACAGGGCCTCGAGCTGGGAGGTTGGGGGAGCTGCGAAATATAATATTTGACTTGATTTATTGATATTGCAATTAGTGCTGTGTGCCTAAGCCCACCTTTAAGTTCAGGTTCGGATTCAAGTCCAGAGGTTTAGGTTCAGGTCTGGTTTCAAGTCCAGAGGTTTAGGTTCAGGTCCGGACTTGTCCGGACCTAAACCCATGGCATATACAAAATAGAATATTGGCAACCTTGCAATGTTGTCTGGGTGAAACTGTGGCCACATAACATCATCGTTACATGGAGGTCAACACTTGACAATTCCCCATGGCAATATTTTCTTCATTTTGCAGCACAGATTTTAGGATCGATGGATGGTTTTAAGTGGTTTGGAAAGAAAAGGGGTATGTGACATGCTTTTTTTTCCATCCAAGTCCGGAACTGGTTCCCGCCATTCAGTTTTTTTTGGACTTGAACCTAAACGTTTTTACAAGTCCGAAACTGAGTCGAGCGAACCGGTACACAGTACTTAAATAAATAATTGCAGTACACGTGGACACAGGTAGCTGTTGCTGGTGTCGTGTCTCGCACATAGAAACAAATACAGGACAGTTAACACTCATTTTCACTTGAGGTAAGTGGGGAAGTCGTGTAAAGTGCCTTTCCCAATGGCACAAGATCGGTGGCATGTCAAGACTCGAACCTGGGACCTCTTGGTTCCGTGTCCAGTACTCTACTGCTGAGCCACACGACCCCACCACAATATATATCAAGTTCAGTTTTGTTATTGAATGGCTGAGTGGCTAGGCTAGCGGACATGAGATAGAAATGTTATAAGGTTCCATCCCAAGCATTCCTGGCAAGGCGTCACAAGAAAGAAAAGTTGGCAATAATTATACAATACTGCAAAAAATGTGCTCGACGACTGTAAGGTATCAAAGAATGTAAAAGTTACAAGGTACTACTTTTATTTCCTGATATGAGGTTTGACTTGTTCTCTGAAAGCAGTTTTATAAATTAAAAATAGTGCCACATTCTGCATAATGACTAAATGAGTGGGTTTTGTGATCTTGGTAGTGAGTTTTTAAATGGGAGTGAAGACTATTAACAGACCCCGAAATTAACTTTTTTCCCTAGGTAGACTGTCACAGATTTTTCCCCAAAAGAGGTTTCAACTGTCCTCAGGTGGCCTTGGATTGTACAAGGACTTCTTTTATCAAATACACTGTCCTGTAATAATGCATCAAATTACTAGTATGGGTGGACTGATTTGCTAGCACAGTGTACTTGCTTATCGAAAGGAGTTGAATGCCGATTCGTGTACCTAACAATGCAGTGGTCGAAATACTTTTTTTCAGTGCTCTGCAATATTGCAGAAGAGTCAAACTTTTGTTCTGCAATTTGGAAATACTTTCTGCAAATACACAAGCCTGAATACTACAATCTTGCAAGTTTATAAGCATGAACTATTGATTGATATGCAAATTAGTGAAGACAAATTTTTAGAAGTTCAAAAGGAAACAAAAGATAAACAGGTCAAGAGAAGGTTGATGCAAATTAGTGAAGAAGCTCCTGTTGTTTCAGAACCGGAGCTTAAGTGTTGTCTGTCCTTGGGACCAAGAGCGCCAAATCCCAAGTGCCAATTTTTCCTGCTGCAAAATTGCAGATTGTATAAATTTTTCTTCTGCAATCTTTGAAATCTATCTGCAGATTGCAGACAGGTTGAATGGCATGGCGAGCAAAATAGGACTTTTTTCTACTGTCCCAAAGTCTACATTGAATTGTCCTAGGCAAATTTCCGGTGGCCTTTGGCCATAGGGACACCTTTAATTTCCAGCGGTTTTGATATTGGACATGCCAGGGTCATGAATTTTGGTTGGTAAGTTGCTTTTGTGCTCGAAAAGAAGTCATATGAGTTTTGGCCCCCTGGCAGCTTGCTCTAGAACTGCAGGACGGTTTGTTTAAATGAGGGAGGATAAAAAAATAATAACAAACGCTCTACTGACCTCCCGGAGCCCTGGCCGTCACCCATCTCCTCTGACGACCGCGGCCGCTGGCCGGCGGGGCTGTGGCGACAGGAGGGGGTGCCGCCGCCGAGGGGGCTACCCCTGCGCCCGGACGGCGAGGGGGTTCCTCCACCGCACCGCGCGCCCTCCCGCGGGCCCTCCCACGTGCTCGTCCAGAAGGTGGCTGCTGGGACATCTTTTGTACCCGTTTTTTCCTGACAGCTGTTTACAAATCAAAGTATCGGCACTGGAATAAAAAAAAAATCAAACACTTATCAGTTAGGCCACAACGAATAATCTTTACGGAAGACCCTAAATCTAATGCGAGAGCGTGAAAAAAACACACACACAGAAGAGCAAAAAAAAGAAGATGCCCGGATTTTAAAGTGTACTAAACTTTAGGGAGTAAAACTTAAAGGAACAATAATTGTTAGGTCAAAAATTGAATGACATAACACAGTGTAACAACCAACAAGTCTTTTCTTCATCATGAAAACAGCAAAAAAAATCAGTGGAACAGCAGTTGTTGTCCTGTCATTTTTCTTTCCTTTCAATATTTTCATCACATTTTCCAATCTTGTCCACGTTTTGCGGCACTCAATGACTTGACTCTTTTGCAGGAGGCAGTTTTTTTTCTGGGAACGGGCCAAAATCAATGCACACATACACGTCATACATAAAAATGAATTGGTTATATTTGAGACAGATTTTCTCAGTTTATATCCAGTCGTTTCACGCTTGTTTGCAAAAGACAGGAAGACCTTTTTGACATGCTAATCATGTGAACTGTCACCACGGCATTCCACCACTTTAATAGCTTTGAATAATTCCGTCCAGATGTTGGAAAACGAAAGGGAAAATTGTTAAAAGGGTTTGTGGTGAAACGTAATATTTATTTATAGCAAGAGTCAAGCAAAAATGATTTCTTTAACTCCCGCAAATTTTCAGCTACGTGGATAGTTGTTGGGAGTTCGGTAAAATAAACAAAAATCTCAAAAATAAACACCATTTTTTGCACGTTCAAAAAAAAAACATTCACAGAGAAAATATTTTTTTCTTCGTGAATACAGAAATACTGTGCATAATTTTGCATAATTACAAAGAAAGTCACATGCAGATCAACAGGCCAAACTTGAGAACAACAACACCGCCTTGCAAGTGGCCATTTTGGCATCTTGGATTTCAAGAACTATCAAGACCACATGTTTGGCACAGATTCATCAAATACTGTACTTGTGCCTAACAGCCAACACACACATTTTGACAACAAAACAGACTCGTTCAAGTCCTACTATATGACATGAAAGGGGTACAAAAACGTCTAAGAAAAAAGAATAAAGTGTCGTTTGAAGAACAAAATCTGGGACCGCGTGCTCAGGGGTGGGCGGGCATCTAACTCCTTTGACCGGAATTTTCACAGATTTTCCTCATTGTTCGATAATTGCCCCCTCTCCACCTAGTGTGAAAACTTTTCAGGTGGGGTGCCGCTGGACAAGGCCAGGCTGTTACCTAGAAAACCAAGCTAGGATGTGTATTATAAGGAACTGACAATAGTTCCACTTTCAAAACATTTTCCCGTGTCTACAAACTATTTCTAGTATAACTTGTAAGTTTTGTAGCCATGATCTACATTTCGACTATAATACAGACACAGAAAGATGAATAGATTTACATAGAGCAGCCGATATATTTGTAGCAGGACATAAGATGATCAAAGTTGCCAGATTTCCGATATATTACAGAAACTGAACTTCCTATTGTGCAAACCAGTTTTGTACTGAGCAGAATTGCTATGCTCAATTTTCCTTCACTAAATCCCCTAATCAGCTGGGTTGGTCACTTTCATAAGATACGTTTAAAAGAAGACATTAAAGACTCGAATGAAAAGTGATGGACAGTGTAATAACACGGTGAAAAAATGACCAGGGAGCAATTTTGAATCTAGCCTGGGTGACAGACCCATGACGCACTGGACTCAAAATTATCCTGTGTCAGAACTCTGATACAGTCATCAGTCCAGACCCCTGCACACAGGGTAACTTTGGGTCTAGTGTACTATGGGTCTGTCACCCAGGCTATTTTGAATCCCCTCTTCTGTTCAGTATTCGGCACTATTATTGATACTTGGCATAACTCTTTTGTTAGAGTTTGGGATACCATGGCTCCTATGGGGACATGTATGTTTTGCTTAGTTTTATGATAATCAAATGCATTGATGTCATTTGAAAAGTCACATTTTATAATAGGTCTGACCATACTTTTCGTGGAAACCACATGTGTATGTATGGTGTATTTTAAAACTTCTACATCACATATGGTTGAGACCATGTTTATATTTTTTTCAAAACCAAGCCAAGCCGTGTCTAGCAGGCCAGCCACGGCCAGGTAAAGGTGTGAACAGTGGCCATTGTTCTGCCCAGGTAGTCTGCTCTCCTACCGGGTGGGTGCTGTGTCAACAAGTTGATTAGCCATATTGTTCACAAATCACAACAAAGAGGTCACATTTCACATCTGGGGATGCCAAAATTCTAAATTTTGTGGTCCATTTTTCAATCAAGTGGTGCATGCTCAGATAATATTATTCCAACTTACAAAAAACATGGTTGGAAAGAAGACATGTCACACTACAATCTCTCGTTGAGACCATTGTCTTGGGGGATTCCAGTGCTCAGATATGCCTTCATGAATATTTCAAATGACACAATTTTGTCAATTTCTTCAATATATTATGAAAAATCGTTGTTCCACTTATTGTATTAGGCATAGCCTTAACGTGATGTTGTAAAGTGGTCTTCGCTGAATGCGTACATACCAAATTTGTCTTTAAAAAGGATGTCTGTGCGATGCACAAACTGGTTAAAGGTAGCTGAATTTTCCAGTGCTTATTATATTAATATTAAGATGGATACGGTATATGTGAAATGAGTGTGGTCAGATTGTATCCTATCAATATGCATCATCAAAACATGTCATCAATTTCAGAGAAAAACATCAAGAAGTTGTAGACTAACACATGAAAGTCGGGCCAGCAGTTAATTAGGCTGGAAGGCAGAAAATTGACTAACATTACTGAGCGTGCTACCAGCCCATTTTTACGTTTTCAGAGACGAAATTCGACCTACAAATCGCTCCAATTGTACTTGACAATCGTTGAGAAAGTCTGAGGAGGATGTACACGCCAAGACATCGCTTGCAGATGACTGTTTTTGTCGAAAAATCAGGTCATAAAAACGGTAAATAATCAGTTTTGCATGTCAATGTCATTTGGGGGGAAACGGTTCAGTTGCGATTCCAAAAACTTTCCTTCTCTGGCTCTAAAGGGGCCGAAAATCTACTCTTAGCAAGTTCACTGTCTGCATAACACATTCAACTAGCAGTAGCGATGTAAATATTTACCTTTACCTCTAGTTTTTGCTGTTTTTTCAGCTATAAATGGATGAGTTTTCCCGGTTCCATCCAACCTTTCTCTCGCGCCGCTTTGCTTCTGAGCAAGGCGAGACTCCCTTATTTGGTATCATGACGCGAACCAATCAACGGAGACCTTAGTTCTCAGAATAATAAGAAGCGGTGATTTGATTGGATGGAAGTTTGACAACCGCTGTGATTGACGTATTGATCATATTGATGGATTTATAGGGAATCTTACCAGCTATACGCACATTATTTAATGCTGAGGATTTCAGGTTTTGGAGATGTTTTTTTTTTAATTACACATGGAATTGACTAGAGAAACCCTTCCTGTGATAAATAATCTTGGCATCAAAATACCCAAATAGGGACAGACAACTTTGCATAGGAACATGGTAATTTTTAAATTTTCGTTTCAAGAGCAAAAAAAACGCCAGCAGAAATCTTGTGATTTTTAGACCATCACAGGCTTTTTCTACACGTTTGAATCCTCATAAATAATTTCATAAATTCAGAGATTCTGCCGGATTTGAATTGTTTCTGCAAAAACATGCACAAAAATTAAAATTGCGACATTTATGACCTTTTGACCACTCCCTAAAGCTCTGGAAAATTCAACCTCTTTGGGGAATATAATGAACAGCTTGCATGGAGATGTACATGTAGAGACAACCCAAAGCAACATTGACTTTTAAAATAGAACTTTATTTCATGTAAAAGATGCAATGTATGCCAAGTAATAAAAACATGTAGAATAATGCCACTAGTACTAGTGAACAATGATGAATGTTTTTTTTTTCTCCTAAAAGATAAACAACAATGCTATGCGTTATAAAAAATGGAATGCGCAAATACATGATCATTGCTCCAAAACAAAAAGACTAGCACGTCTAACCCCCGTTTCAGGGAAAAATGACGTTAAACCTGGATAAGATGAATTGCAACAATAAAAGTAACATTGCTGATTTCTCTTAAACTTTTTTGTATTAATTTTTTTAAGCAAGTGCTACAGAACTCAAATGCTTAAGATTACAAAACATAATAATGATGAAAATGAAGCCTTTTGAAAATACAACAAAAAGTACAGAGACTTTCATAACATCAACTACAAAATAGAAAACTGAAATAATATTAAATTCTAAAAACATGTTAGTATTGCTGAATAAAATAACAGGAGATATAAAAATAAAAGGGTTACAGAACAACTTTATAGACTTAATAACATTAAGCATAAAAACAATATCATGATAATTAGTAAAACAGTGAACAATAAATCTAAGATTCAAATGCCTTTATTTTGGTACTCTATTTGATCCAACAACCTAAAAAATATAATACTGATAGTACATGTTATTGTAGTTCACAAAAACATCATATTAGCACAAACTGAGTTAATGCCTTGTATAACTTTTGTTAAAAGTGTAAGAAGCAATATATGATGAAAAAAAGTATCCAAAAATGGATAATATCTAATAGTTACTAGAAAAATCCGATGTGGGAATGCATAGGGTAACCCTGAGATTGCACAATATCTGCTGCTTGTTTATAAGCTGATTAAAGGTTGCTCTGCCAGCACTGTCTTTTGATTCCCTGCTGTATAGTACTCACCTCACTTGTTAAGAATGTCTTCATGACTCGAGGCGTATATAAAACATGGCATGCACTGACTTAGGCCAAAGTTAAAACTTACATTTTGTTAAAATGACAATCTACCTTTGGAGCATTGTCAGAACTTCTTACAAAACTACGTTACAGTTCAAATTGGCACTTCAAATTTAGCAGAACCAGCCGTGATAAGTCCCGAGTCTTCCCAACAAGGCGATTAAAACTTGAGGATGA